GGCGGCCTGGGCTGGCGCTGCTGGTCCTGGGTCTCGGAGGGCGACGTCGGGGGGTCTCCTTGGGGGTCCAGTTCCTCCGCATCCGTGAGCTCTGCCGCCTGGGGTTTCCTGGGCACCCCACCGTTGGCCGGTATTTTGTTCTTCAAGTCAGGAGGGTGCTTGGCATGTCTGCCTTGGGGAGAAACGGGCAGGTGGGCGTGCTTCGAGGGAGCTGCGGCCCTGGGAGGCGAGGGCGGCTGCGAGGTTTCTTGCTTCCAGGTCTCCGTCGCGCCTGCTTTCTGCTGGGCATCGGGCTCACTGGTCCTGCCTGGAATAGATGGGATAGAATTTGCCATCAGAGACGAAATTCAAAAGCTTTGCAGCACAAAGCGAGTGTTAAAGGTGGCAGTGGAGGCGTCTCAGAGGAAATTATAACTGACAAGTTCTCATTCTTCAGAACGTTCGACACTTTTCTCAATTATAGCCATCGCGTTGAAAGTCCTCTTTTGCTTTAAGCCATAGATACAGCTCTAAACAATATGGGTGAGAATTTCTGTGAATGCAATTAGGTTAGTCACAGCTTAGTATTTGAAGGGATTCTCAAATGAGTACTTTGACGTCATCCATTGGTTTTGCAAAAGCAAGATCTTACATAGGACTTTTGTAATAAAACGAATTCTCCGTATGCTACAAATGCGCCATAGCCCTTCTTGTCAATGTAGGCGAGAAATTTATAGGAACCGGGTGTGAAACGTTAAATGACCTCTACACACAGAGGCGTGGGGATGTGTTGCATGCCTGGGAAGTGACAGGCAAGCAACAGATTTGTAATTTTGGAGCATTACCAAGAGTGCCTGTCCCCCCTAACATGTCCTTACTTGCTTTCTCCTCCTCTATTAAAATCTCTTTAGTAATAAATACATTTGTAATTCCAAAATAGAGCCAAAAATAAAGACTCCCGAGGTAGGCAATGCATTAAGTGCGCCCTATGCTTTCCCCTTTCTTGCAAGCAGAACTGAAGGAGGAAAGGGGTGCTGTCGGGGCTGGGGATCTGTATAGCAAAGGGGAGCCCAGCCGGGAGCAAACATCTATTTCATTTCCTTCCAAGACAGACTGTGACTTCGGGGTGCCCTGGGGATCCTCACAGTACATCATGGAGGAGAGAGCCACCGATATGGTGTGAATGGGGGAGGCAGACAGGAGTCACCATCCAGAACCAGTCCGCTCCATTTCTGGGTTTCATTAACTTGCTTGGTTCTGATCCGGATCAGAAAAACAAGGTACTGAAGTTCTTCTGAGTCAAGCTGCACTCCCAAGTAATGCAATACAAACTACGCATTTCAAATGCTATTTGGAAATTGAAGAGAGCTGACAGCTAACAAGGCCACATGGTTGTTGTAACTCCCGGAGAAGCGGCTAACGAGGATCCCTGTCATCATAACCCCCAGTTACACAGTGATATAAGATTAATCACAGAACTCATACTTTCATGTTTGTGTAATATCGTAATAGTGATTGATGTTATTAGCAATCAATAACATTTTAGTTTTTGGGATGACTACTTTCTAAAGGGACTATCAAACGTTCTATAAATCACAGTGCAAACTTAGCCTAAAAAAAAAAATCATGAAAACCCAGGCAAGAGCCATGATTCCTAAGGAATGCAATGCATGAAGCAGAAGGAGAGGGAAGAGACACGCAATGCTTACTTGTTGGCATAGCGACGATGAAGGCTTTGGAGTGAGGCCCCGATCCTCTCCTGTTGGCCGCCCGGATTTTGAACAGATAGCGCTCCCCAGGCTGCAGGCCGTCCACGAGGGCAGAAGTGGTCTCTCCGGGGAAGCTGAGGGACTTTGCTCCGAAGGGCTTGAGCGCGGGGGCGTAGGAGAGAATGTACTCTGAAATGATTGGCAGACGGTTGGAAGGAGGACAGTGAAAACAGTGCTGTGTCCCGAAGACGGACTGTAGGGGCAGAATGGACTGCAGCGCGTCACTAGGTGAATGGACTGTAGGGGCGGGATGGACTAGAGAGCGCATCACTAGGTGAATGGACTGTAGGGGCGGGATGGACTAGAGAGCGCGGGGGTGCAGGCGCTCAGAGGAGGCCTCTTTGGGGTCCAGGGAGCCTGTGGCCGGCTCTCCCTCTGCGTCCAGCGAGTCGTTGTCAGCAGAGCTGGACGGCAGGTGGGCCGCGGGATGGACTAGAGAGCGCATCACTAGGTGAATGGACTGTAGGGGCGGGATGGACTAGAGAGCGCATCACTAGGTGAATGGACTGTAGGGGCGGGATGGACTAGAGAGCGCATCACTAGGTGAATGGACTGTAGGGGCGGGATGGACTGGAGCGCGTCACTAGGTGAATGGACTATAGGGGCGGGATGGACTGGAGCACATCACTAGGTGAATGGACTGTAGGGCAGGATGGACTGGAGCGTGTCACTAGGTGAATGGGCTGTAGGGGCAGGATGGACTGGAGCGTGTCACTAGGTGAATGGACCGACAAACACAGCAGGACAAGTCAGAGCATAAAGGCGCGGGCAAGGGGGTACTGTTCGCCGGCTGCGGGACGGACTACCAATTAATAAGCTGGCGTTGCCCATTCTCAGGACATTCAGCATAGGGAACCCAAGAGGCCAGTCTTCATACAGTTTACAAAAGACATTTATGCCGTGTTTGGGTTTTCTATGCATCGTAGTTCTATGCTAATTTATTATGACAGAATTATCTCCTGAGTGGAAGAAGCTGTGGGAAAAGAAATGACAGCTCCTAGGAACTGATTCTGAATAGCTACTGACATCGCCAAGGGTTCCAGTGAATTCATCTGGGCAATTCTGGTTTAGTTTAAGCCAATTAAATTTCATATTTGGAATATAATTTTACCTTTGTATGGATTATAAAAACTCTGAATATATGCAGATAAGAACAGTTCACAGTATTTAAAACTGTAAGGAAAGGGTGCTAAGTAACAGATTTATGCATTATCTAATGTTTCTATCTTCAGTTGGCTACATCTATAAGCACTTAATGCCCTTTATTGGACATCATAGCAAATTCAGTCCAAGGATCTCATATATCTCTATGCTTATATGGAAATGCTGTCCCATAAGGAAACCATGTTTTAAAGCACAATTTTCACCCTCAACTAAAAACTGCCATACCTATTTCCTCCCAGTGAACTCAAGATTCACAAAACTTATCAAATTAATATGGCTGGGAGCTAACAAAAAACTGAATTACAGAAAAACCAAGCAATTGTCATACTTCCTGTGGAGGCATGTAAGAGCTTTTCTTTTACCTAGGATCTAATCTTTAAAAAGTATTTTTTAAAGCATTTGTAGGACAAAAAGAAGTGTTCTTGTTGAAAATGAATAAACTGGTCATTTGTGGTGGTTAAAAGTTAAAATTAAAAGAATGCCTGTCTATGAAATTTGGTAATTCAGATATTTTTGTTTTTATTGATTTTATTTATTTTTTATTATTTTTTAAATTTTGTTTTATTGCTTAAAGTATTACTAAGAGTATTACATATGTTTCCTTTTTAATTCAGATATTTTTATGGATTCACTTCATTTGGAAAAAAGTTAACCATGTCAAATTATATTCTATTGTGTTTTATATTTCTCATACATAAAAAATGTCCTGCTATAATTTTGAATTTTCAATCCCACTACCACACCTTTATGAAAATCTGTGAGTTCTTTTGGATATAACTCAGTAGCTATTATTATTTCTGGTAATATTGAATTGACTACCAGGGAGCTTCTTTCACCAGAGAGAGAAGTATAAACCAAGACGTGGAAGAGGGAAAGAAAATAAAAGTAGCATGGTAATAATGTCACGAAAAGAGCAATGATTGATGTTTTTATAACTAAAAAGAGTAGTCTGCCAAAAACTGTCCTTATTCACTTCCCAGCATTACAACAATACTTAGGCCAGAAGGAGCCAATGTTCAAACTTTTATAAAAAGAATTATTTAAAAGGGCCAACTAAATATTTCTTCTCTTCATTTGTTTCTAATTTATTCCACTAGAGAAAAAATGAGTAAGAATGGTACAATATTTTCTTCTTAAAAAAAACTAGAAAGTGGGAAAACCTTAAGTTTAGAAAAGACTATCTCATGTCTACCTTTCTTCTATTGTCCCATGAAAAGGTCCTTAGTTGTAGACAAAAGAGAACAAGTTATTTATTTGAGTTAAGAGATTCTCAAGGAAGATTGGTGGTAATTTGCTGGATTTGTTTAAGCTTACACAAACTTTTCATAGTTTTTAGATACGAAGTTTCATAGTTTCTGAAGACTTAAATTTGTCTTCCAAGATTGTGTAACAATAAAAAGTGCCCTTAGGGTATACTTGTATAAGTGATGTCAAGGGAAAAGTTCAGTATGCCCCTTCACAGTATCTCCTACAGACTTCTGGAAGGTTCTTGGATGTTTTTACATTGAAAAGAAAAGATTTGTGCTTCTATTTAGTATTCTCAACAGACACTTTAAATTTAACTATTTGTTAATATTTTACCCTATTTTTAAATCTACAGTATTATTATTTTAAGGACATATTTTCCTCAACTCCCCCAAAGTAATTAATTTTAAAAGCTGACAAATAGGGGGAAAAATTTCCATTTGATTTTAATACTTGAGTTCTCAATCCCATTAAAAAGATTTTTGGTCCCATTCAAGGCCCTCATGGTCCCATGGGGTTCCTGCTCACTCCCACTTTCCGGGATTTTACTGGCACAATGAAAAGACCCGAAACATGAAAAACCAGGGTCATTTGTGTGGGTGAAGGTTAGGCTGTCACTCCCCTACAATCAAACACAGAAAACCCCCTCCTGAGAGCAACACCCAGCCCCTTGCGCATACAGAAGGTGGAAGTCACCTTCATGACTCCCTGGATCCCAGCGACAATGAAAAACCCCTGCGTGAAGTCTCCTCGTCCGGTTAGCACCGCATAGACGCGTGTTGCTCCCCTATTCCCAGTGCAGCCAGCAGGCCTGTGATGAGAAGCGGGCTTCTCGGAGTCAGTACAGTGTCCCGGGGATTTCACTCCCATGTGCACCTCGTGCCCTCCGTCGCCAGGTTCCTACCTTTCACTCTGCCCTCAGTCTCAGGCAGCGCGTCCCAAGCTACAGTGACAGCTGTGGTTTTGCCATTGACTGGCCAGACTTTTAAGTTCTCCGGAGCCGTCGTAGGAGCTGCAAAAGGAAGGTCAAGGGTCCAAGGTTTGAAAACACACTTGTGCATCTTCTAAAGTAAACGGCACGCGGTCCTCATGTGCTGTTTATTGCAGAGCCACCTGGTAACTTTTATCGTAATGAGAGAAGATTCTACATTCGCTCTCATGTAACACGGTGATTTCTATCAGTTCCACCAACCAGAGAGTGAGCGTAGACAGAGCTAGCAAAATGCCTTCCAGAATTCGGAATTTCTCTCATTGCTCAATATTAAAATATTCCAAGAAGATTAAAATCAAGGCTTTTATAAAACAAAGACACCGTTTAAAAAGACATAATTATAACTTTGGATCCAGAACAAAATGATCCCTAGTTCCTCTGGCCCCAGACTCAAATACAACCTCAGCCTCAGGAAA